GATCTCCCACCCTCACCTCCCTGAAGAAATCCATCACCACCTTCTCCGCCCTCTCCCTTGGTTCCATTGAAATTCTCTCCATTTCTTCCACTGGAATAAAACCCGCCACCACCGCCACCTGAGAACAAATAAAACAACAAAATGAGGAGTAAATTCTAAGTAAACGAAACGCCCCTTTTTTTTAATTAAATCCTTAATGTACCCATATCAGCGTGTTCAAACCTGTATATAATTTAATTCTATCGAGCCGCCATCCATTAAGTTTAAGATTTTGATATCTACCTTTTATATGCCTGGAGATATAAACTGGTCCTCTTCCTAGGAAGTCTTAGGGTTTTTTGTTGTTGTTGTTTCTTTCTTTTTTTGTTTTGTATGGGATTAGGGCCGATGATTTAAATTTGAAGCATACATTAACTCATTCATTAATGAGGGGTTTGGGATCATCACAGTATTATCTTACCTGAGTTACCATCATCAGCAGTTTGAGCACCATGCCCATTGCTCCCTCCTGACCATGACTTATATCCAGAATGCCCTGTTGTCTTTGCGCTGGCGTCACATCCTGCATGTCTTGACTCTGCAGAATCTATCCCTCCTCCGCCTCCAGCTATTATCAAAGGTGTGTCGGTTCCTCTCACCACAAATGTACCTCCACCACCACCAGAGGATCGATCCCTCTTGTTTATTCCTCCTTCTTGACCTACAAGTATCTGGATAACTTCACCCTCGTTTAAACGGAATTTTCCAACTATTCTTGCTCCTCTTCCACGGTATTGACGGCTGTTAGGGTATGAATCGTACCCTCCTGCTGCTCCAATCGCTCTTATTTTGTAGAAGCTAGTGTACGGCACAGTCCATTGTTGAATACCGTTGGACAGTGTAACTTGTCCGTCATGATCCTGACCTGTGTAGTGACTGCCCAGCGTTGTTGGACCATATCTTCCAGTGGCATTGAGATTTGTAAAAATTGCTGTAAAAACTGAGGGGAAAACAAACAAGCTCATATCAACATATTTTTTATAGCACCATCTTTTACAGTTCTTTTAAAGATGACACAGAGTCTCGCAGTTGATTAATGCAATAATACACAATCTTAAATCGTATCTTCTTCAATAATTTTAAAAAAAGTTGTGCGTTCGAGTACTTGCGAGTTACGTAACTATTTCACAAGCTTTAAAGGGGCATGAAAAAATTAATCGTCTACATTATATATTTAGCCTTCAAATGACTGATTAATCAATACAAAACCATACAAAATTTCTTAAACTGATATCAACCGCGAACATTGGAGGTGGGAACAACCAAAAAAAATTAGTAACTAACAATAATAATAATAAGAAAAAGAATAATAATAAAGAGTTATCACGAGACGTAACAAAGTGAAAGATTTACGGAAGGAGATAACACGCCAGCATGAAGGTAAACCTGATATTTATTTACAGAAATTCTCAGCTTCTGGTCACCTTTTTTTCCACAATCTTTTCCCTTGAAACCAACTTGACACAAGCAAATGTATCTCTTAACTGTAAACCCATTTAGACAGGTTGCATTATGAAGACAAGGGCTGCTTGAACATGGATTCTGCAGGGATAAAGTTATCTTTAGTGGGATTTCTCTTCATAAAAACCCAGCATAGCCATACCAAAGAGAATTGGAAAATAAATCTATTTTATTGTGTTCTATCCAAATATCCGCACCTTTGTAGCCCAATACTGGTATCCTTCTTGGGGTTTAAGGTCATCAGGATGTTGAATGTGATCAGAATCACTCAGTTGACAGACCCGTAGTCCTTTCTTGCTGGGTGGGCCAACGTTGACGGACACACAGGTGTTTTCCATGAGGCACCTATTTTTGCAGTCGCTATGGGGCTCAAGTCCCATGGACAAATATATTTGTTTGAAAACGTGCTGTTGCAGAGCATATCCTCCAATTGGCTTGTCAAACATAAGACTTCGATACTGAGTACCTGCAACTGATTGGTTAGAGATATGGTGACAAGCATGTTGGACGTTTTTTTTTTTTGCGCCAAATAGTAAAACAAATTCGTGTTCCCCAGATATGTTTTTTCCTTTTATTGGTGCTTGAGCAGCTGGAATAAGTCCTAAGTCTGCTAGGAATTTAGTCAATTTTCCAAATTTCTGTTCAATGTTAAATCAGTGATGGTCTAATTGCAGGTTAGTCGTTGCGCAAATGAGCCATCGTCTTAAAAGAGAAGGCGCCAGCTCAAATATTGCCGAGAACAGTTTTATCAATTTATGGTTATCGAGCAATGATACTTTCATTACATGGGAAGATAGCCGTGAGGTAAATCTGAGCGCTCTGACACATCCATGAGCCGTACATTTTTGGGTACGAAACAGGGCAAAGTCAAGAAATGTTTGGTCTACTTACCTACCTTACTTGCTCGAGCCGTCCTGGGGATTATTGGTCCTCGGATGTTTCTCTACGGACCACTGTGACCTTAGGCCAATATTCCCCAGTACAGCCCTCTCGCACAGTTGGTAAAAAATCAATAATCAAGGCTTTTGGCTAACATTTCATCCTACGAACTACTTATCTCGCAAAGTTGGAACAAAATTAAGATCTATAACTGTGATAGAATTTCATATCATACGGCTTTATTTTTACAAATTATCTCTGAGGGAGAGAGAGACTGAAGGAATCAAAGGTACGAGTAAGTCTGTACAATAATATTATTTCGAAAAGGTATAAATTCACTTCTCGAAGTATTTCTCAAAGTAAGTAAGGTACAGTTCTAATTCTAGCGTTTCCTTTAAATAGATCACATTTATACAATAATTGTGACGAAAAAAAAACAGCTTTTATTCGGAGTATTTTAGAAATGAAATTAATTATTTCTACATGTTTGGATTTTAAACAATGCTGTATGAAAATTTCATTTTTCTTTCATAACTTATTTACGCTTTTTTCACTAATAAGAAACAAGATATTTTGCGGACTATAAACATAGTCATGTGACACACACGCCCTCTCATTGTTCAGCCATTATTCCCTCCATGAAAATCGACTCGACTTGACTTTCCTAGCCCATGGCGGCCAGGTGAGTTTCGATGAGTTTTCGAGCCCCGCTTGTTGAAACACCTATAACTTGAATTTACCGAATCACTGCGATCAGTCACCGAGGAGATTGTGACCTGAGAATTTTTATCACGATCAAAACAGATCAAAGTGAAACTTTGTAAAGAACGAAACACTAAGGCATTCATTTGCGTCGGAATGTCAAAATATTGACTTAACCTGTGCATACGTCAATTTGACAACACATAAAGATAATATTTCACAGCCTTGGAATTCTTGGAAAATTTTATTGCTTTCCACCTGTGCATTTAGCTGTTTATTTATAACACACCATTACTGGATGAAAAAGGATTTGTGATGAAGCAACTTCTTTGGAAAAGAATCCGTGTTGTGCTCTTAAAAAATAAGTTAAATCCCTTGTTTTGATTGGAATGCACCTTTTGTTTACATTTGAAGATCCACTTTTCCAACATTAAGCATGATTTTTTGAAAGAGAATTCAGTGTAAAAGACAAGGATTCTCCCCTTAAAGTAGGCAATTTTTAGGAATTTTTTAATTAGTTTCTTCTGCAGTTGCAGCCACAACAAAATTCCAAGCCCTAATTTCTGGTTAGCTTCCCGTCCTATGTATATTGCACTGCACTCAGTTTCCAGTGTCTCCTGCAGATACAGCAATCCTTAATCTAATAGGCCTTGCACTGGGAGATTATTCCCCGAATGTTTTTGTGCCAGACATGTTGTTTTTGTGCCAGACATGTTGTTTTTGTGCCAGACATGTTCTTTCGTTAGCGAAGAGAACGTGGTGTAAAATCAAAATTTAAAAATCCCTCACTCAATTCTGCTATGTCTCTTTCAATTATTCAATGGTCCTTCGTTTTTAGTTTTAAATTGATTTTTAGACTTGATTTAGCCAGATTTTTATCATTCAAGCGCAAAACGGGAAAGGAAGGTTATGGAAATTTGAAATAGTTTCCCTGCTCGATCATCGCCTGTACAGTCAAGAGAGTCACAAACAAGCGTGTTTTTTTATTGTTTGCTTTACACTAAGCTTCCAGTCTCACCTACGATGTAGCAACAGCTTTATGATGTTTTGGAATGAAATAAAACTTCAAGAACGCTTTTCTCATTTAAAAGCTTCTTGCGGAGATTCTAAGTTAAACCTTACCTTGTGTCAAATTTACATCTATTATAATACCTTTAAGTCTTACTCAAGGTAATGTTAGCGTTAGGTGTAGGTATATTAACATCAAGCTTCTTCAGTTCGAGTAAAACAGAGATTCAACCATCTTTTTCCACATTCTCGCTTGAACCTAATGTCATAGAGCAGTTTTTCTCTTTCTAGGTCAAACAAAGAACTTTTTAGCCTATGGCATTGATATCTCTTTGTTTACCAAAAGTGTATCTACGAAATGCATGGTAAGCATAATTTTCTTAACCAGGACACTCTACCAAAGTGCGTGATATAAATTCTCGTAGAAAGGTATGTTAGAAAACCAAACGTAGGTCACGCAGTTATCTAGGACTGTATGTAAGTGTAAATATTATCACTTAAATTAAAAACTTTAGCAATATATATAATTCACGCAAAAACGGACCGTTTTACTTTCTATAGGTACCATTAATAGTGGTAATAGGACCGAGTGGAGTCCAATTCGCTCTGTAATCATACGAGTAATCGACAAAATCTCGATATGATATAAGACCGGCAGGCAGTACTCAATAATCTGAATAAATTCTTATCAGAAATTAGAAATTAGGAAACGTCGCCAAAAAGTCTCATCAAAATATAACGATTTATGTCCTACAAACGACTGAGTTTGTTGCATGGTACTCGTCTTGAAAGTTTCTAAACTTGTTTAGCTCCCTCTAAAATCGTGGTTAATTATTTTTAATGAACTTGAAAAAGTTATACTTGCAAACAAAAAATCATATTTCGTCGTGTTCAAGTTTCTTAGAAATGGTCACATTAGCTTTAAATTCAGAGCCCTATCACCTGATGTGTGGAATAAGCTTTCAAAATCCACAAAATGCATTATTTTTCGGCCTAGTTCGGCAATTCGACTTAGCTTCCTTCAATTCCGGATTCGCCTGACTTCAAAAGTAAATTTTAATGAAACCTAGACAAAGCAATGTTAAAGTTAACTCACCTTGGTTCGCAACTGTCACGGTGTAGAACCAGCCTCCAAACAAAAAGAGGAAAGATCTGAAAGAAAACACTGGGCAGCAACGGCGCTTCATCCTCAGAATCTTGCCAGGATATATTTTCATCACCATTAGATGAATGCAGCAACCATCGGTTGCCCATCTCTCGCACAGTCAGGACCTTTGCATGCGATGCGCTGAAGTGTTATCCCTATTGCTATTCATTATTAATGAAAGTGCAGCGACACTGAAGGAAATTTCTCCTCCTACAGTTTTTCTAAGTTTCGTATTTAAATATCTCCTCCAACGTCCTTTGTGCATATATTTTGCTTATTACTTATATTTATTAGTATTTGCCTGAAACAATCATCAAAATAAAACAAGAGA